TTAATGTCTGTTTTGAGCATATTTTTGCATAGAGTAAGAACATATGTTTTAAGCATATTTTTACATATAGTTAGGACACATTTGCCAGGAATTTAATGCTTAAATGTTTTATGTTATCTTATAAATGTTTTACATTTATACAAATTACAAAGAAACACAGATCTAAAGAGAAAAATCGTTTTTAACAATTAAATTCTTAATTTATTTTATTTTTATTGAACTTTATTAAACAAACAAAAAAATTAAATTAAATAAAAAAGTCTTAATTATGCTGAATCTTTTGTTAATTATTTTTAAAACAAAAAACTTTTGAATTACTTATACCCAATATTTAAATACTTATACGCAAAATATTCAACTAAAAAAATAAAAGTATATTTGATAATTTGAATTGTCTGCTGAAAAAATTGAAATTTTTTGAAAAATTTGAATCGTCTGATAAAAAATTGTTCATTAAAAAATGTTCCTTAACTTATACAGAGTTGCCACTCATATTTGAAAATAAAATTCAATGACTTTTCTATGACTCTTCATATTTTTTCAAAAAGGCCCATATATGCGGGATTTCGCCAAATATGCTTGATTTGAAGGCCGACATTCGTATATTTAAATATATATATGTGTGTGTGTGTATATATATATATATATATATATATATATATATATATATATATATATATATATACACATAGGGCCGTTCTGAAGAGATTTTAATTGGAGGGTGCCATGTAAAAAAAAAAAAAAAAGAAAAGAAAGAAGAAGAAAAAAGAAAGAAAAAGCTCCTTGTTTTCTGACTGTCAACGATAATTTCAATTTTGCTGACTCTAGTGTCAAATTTCCTAACTAATAAAATTTGTAGGGGGCCTAGACATCCCCCTATGCCCTCGGGACGGCCTTGTATGTATGTATATGTATGTATGTATGTATGTATGTATGTATGTATGTATGTATGTATGTATGTATGTATGTATGTATGTATGTATGTATGTATGTATGTATGTATGTATATATATATATATATATATATATATATATATATATATATATATATATATAACACACACACACACACACACATACATATGTATGTTAATAATTATTATATATTTTTTTTATCGTTATTACATATACAAGAATTATTGTATTTTATGTTATAAAAACAAAGTTTTTGAAAGAAATCTTTTTCTTCAAAATCAGTAAATTTTTTTACATCGCAAGAGCAATTTTATAAAAACTCCCAAAAATTATTTAAATTTAAAAATGTTACAATTTTTGTTTATGAAAAAACAATTAATCATTCTAAATTAGCAGTAAGCAACCCGTAATAAGGGTTGTTAGTAAATAAAATTAAAAAAAAAAAAACGCGTATAGAAAAGCCTAGAAAATGGCGAAAGTCGACTATTAACTACTACTATTAAATTAGCGTATTAATATTATCAGATTAACAAAAATGTTATCTATATGAATGTTTTCCCATAATTTAAAATTGAACACAATTATTTCTCATAATAATCATTGGCTAACTTAAATAATTTAATCTATATAACGACTGATATAATAAGCGATTTAAGTGACATAACAATCAATTATTTTTTCCAATATCAACTTTGTTTTGATGCAAAAGTTACAAACGGTTGCTTATTTTATTATGCAAAATACTAATATATAAGCGCTTGAAGTCCAACAGTTCAAATCAGAGATATTTAAAAGAATCTAAAATGTCGAATAAAAAGTAAAGCAAATAAATATCATTTGTGAATCATTTTCAGAATGTAGTAAAGGGTATAAAAATTCAAAAAAAGAGGCCCTTCTAGGATAAATAGCGATAGCCCCAAGCGGGTTTCCTGCATAGCCTCTGGGGCCAGAACGACACTGATTATAAAACATGCAAACCAAAAACTAAATGGTAGAATATTCTGAAATCATGTCTGAAAAAAACTCTTTTTCTCTTACTTCTCTAATAATAAAAAAATATTTTTTTAAAAAGGACTTAGACTTGACATACAAGTACTTTTCTTTGTATGCTAAAAATTATACAAGTAGAAAAAATAAAGATCATTTTAAAAAGTTCCATGAATTTTCCATGATATTCAATAAAAATATAGGAATTCCATGACTTTTTCCATGACCAAATAAAATTCCATGACATTTCCATGATTCCCATGACCAGTGGCCGCCCTGTCATAAATAAATTCAAAAGTATTTTCATTCGACAAATAAATACAAAATTCTTTTTTTTCCTTTGCAAGTAATTTAATTAAGAGTAATAAAATAAAAAAAAGGAGTACAAATATGAGGTATTCCTTGTTAAGAAAAATTCAATTTATTTATTGAATAATATTTAATTTTATTTATATACCAACTTAAATAAAATATACTAACATGTTAAAATATTATAACATGACTTGTGCCATTTATAAACTGAAGGGCAGCTGCCTGTACGGCATCATTGATTTGGATAAAATTTCATTTTAATGAGGATCATACAAATTACATATAATTTTAATAACAGAAGTCTTCTCTTTTTCTGTGATTCAAAGTCCCAGGATTTAAAAGTTTTTTGACCTTCAAAATCAATCTATATTTGAACATTAAACAATTTGAAGAGTATAGAAATATACTAGGTTTTTATATACTAGTTTGTCAGGCTTGGTCGGGAAGCGGGAGCAATCACTTTTGATTACTGACCACAGATATAATATTTAGTTGCAAAAAACTTGTCAGATTTTTTAGTTGTTTTAAGAACATTTTAAAAAACAAAACAAAAAAAGAGTAAAAAAGATTAATTGGACCGATAAGAGACACAAACTATTTAATGCTTCCGTATTTTAAAAATTATTTTATGCTTCGCTAGTAATTTAAAAACTATTTATGCTTTGCGTAGTTTGAGCAGCCGTGGCGCAGTGGTAGCGCACTTGCCTCAGGAACATAAGATCTGTGGTTCAAACCCCACTCTGAGCAAGTTTTGCGACATTGGTTGGGAAGGTGGCATGAACTTCCTATTAAATGCTCTTCCGCGGTGCTCTGTGATAAGAACATAAGGACTTCTTGGGGCACCTAAAATCAACATAAAAAAAAAAAAAAATTTTTTTAAAAATTCAAAACAATTCTGCTCAGCAAGATAAACAAATGAAATTAAAAAAAATTATCGAATCACACGCAGAAGAAATATTTGTTATCAGAGATTACAGAATATAAATATTTTTTGTAATACCAATTTTTATAGAGTCTTTTACTGAGTTTTAATTAAAAACATCTGCAAAAATATATGTAGTAGAGGTTTGACAAACTTTTCTCATGTTGCTAAATATTTAGATAAAAAGATTAGCGTAAAACTACGTTGAATATAATCATTATAAAGAAATATCACTGCGATAAAAAGTTACAACATAATTTTTAACATGTAACTTCGTTTGAACTATTGTAACAAGTATTTTTACATATTGCTATTTAAAAGTTAATGTAGTTTGTTCAAAAATTAGTTATTTCTTTTATCTACTGCTAATTTAAGTTAAAAAATGATAAAAAGTAGGTTTAGCAAAATCGCTTAAGGCATACATAAAAAATCGCTAAAAGCGTACATAAATCTACGCATAATGCTTTAAAATAAGGTCTGTTATATAATACAAAAAGTTATATATACGCAAGCATAAATATAATTTACAAACATATGACAACTTATATTTTCGCTTTCCTCTTTAAAAAATAAAAAAATAAAAAAAAAAATAAAAATCATTCTTTTTAATGTTTAAAACTGTTTGTTTTTTTTTTTAGCTATGGGCCTTAACGCCTGCAGAGTCACTGACGCTAGGGCCAAGCCATTCAGTGTGATGAACATTAGTCACTAACAATAACGATATTGGTTAATGAATAAAGAGAGATGACCTAGTCAATTTGATTAGAAATCGCATTGAAGTGTAGTCTTAAGAAGAGCGATATAGAACAAAGAGAAAGGCATTAGAGTGAAGTGGTGCAAAATGGAAGTACATAAAAGAATAGTCTAATCTAGTTTTCCAATAAATGGATAAATTCTTACGAATGTAAATGCCCAGGCCAAGCATGTGACTATTGGATTCTTTACAAATTAAAGGAAGATAATCATCAACACTAAGATCACAAAATGAGACAGGCAAACTCAAATTAGTCTCACAAAGAGCAAGCAAGTCTGGTAAACATTACAAAAGAGAGGCTCAACAGTTACTTCAAAGACCACAAATATTAGTAAATGATATGTTTAGAGAACATGGTGATGATTTTTAGGACCTCTAACAGTTTGAGGTAAGCAATTTCTTGCCGACCTCAAACTGTTTAAAGTCAACAAAAAAAAATTTGATACAAAGAGGAAACCATAAAACAAAGAAACAAGATCAGCAATTTCTTGCCAACCTTAAACACTTTGGTTGCCATTGCTTAACACCGACCCTTATTTCAAAAGTTGATATATATATATATATATATATATATATATATATATATATATATATATATATATATATATATACATCTCTGTCCCAGCGAAACTTAGCGGAAAATCAGCATTTTTTTGCAAAAAAAACAAACAATATTAGCTGTAAAAAAACGTAAAAAAAAAGGGTCCTCAAATTTTAATGCTACCAATTACAGCTATGTACTTTTAAAGAACCTTAGTTTTTTAATTTTTATTATCATTATTTTATTATTATAATTATAATTATTAAGATAAATGATAACAAATGGAAATTAAGTAATTAGATGTTGTTGTCGCACATCATTTTATTGTTCTAAGCACTTGTGTAGATATAGTAAATTATTATTACTGTAAAACAAAAACGATTATTGAAAAAAACTGTAAACAATTCAAAAACCTTCCAAAAATCTGGAGTATTAAAGTCAAATCGGAAACTTCGAATTTAAATTTAGTATTATAATTAAACTATAATCATTAGCCTAATTATATGTTAATAACAAATATACTCAATCCATTATTTTAAAACAAAACATAAAAAATAAAAGCTACATACCCATTAGTTATTAACCAATCATCAACTAACTCTGAACTGAATTTTGCAAACATCGACTGCCAAAACAATTGGTACCAAGAAAAATAAAACTGTTTTTAAATTTTTAATAACACTGCTACTAAAATAAGCAAATATATATATATATATATATATATATATATATATATATATATATATATATATATATATATATATATATATATATATATATATATTAGGGTAATGACTATGACTTTTTTAAAAAAAAGTGAATTTCCTGTGTCATAAATCGATAAACATTTAACAGAAAGCATTGAAAACATGTTCGATTCCTCTTGGTTGTAAAAAAAAAAGGTCACCCCACAATTCAAATTACGATTTGTAATTTATTTAATCTTGTTACTGCTACTAATAATATGTGTGGCTTTTCTGCAAAACATTTAAAACATGTATAGATTAGAAGTGTTTAGAACTTTAAAACATTTTGGAAAATAACAGAATATTTTAAAAGACTTTAGAACATTCTAGAACAATTTAAAACATTCTGGACATTCTAGAGCAATTTAAAATATTTTGGAACATTCTGGAATATTCTAGAATATTTTAGACTATTTATAGCTGCTCATCTAATTTTACAGTTAATACAGAAGCAACACATGACGTTGTACAAGCCTAGCAATAATAGCATAGAAGAACAAGGATGTCTGGACCTAAAGTGGATAGAACATAGTTATCTTCCGAGGACAAGTGATTGTACCATCTCTGAGTAGAAAGCAAAGGAACAGTGAGATACTCTACAGGTCTAGCAATTAGTAAAGAAATAATCCATCTATTTAAAAGACAAAAACTTTCTAATGAGTCATCCAACTCATCATCTTACTATCCTGGCTTTAGTGATTCTGACTATGAGGCTGACAACATTGAATATGAAAACAATGAAGAAGAAGATGATACAACTCCTACACCAACCAGAAATCATCATAAAAGCAAAATTGCAGTCAACTTGGTGACCTTCACAAGAGTATGAACAAACAAAGCTGTTAATATATGCTTGCTAAATTTCACCGATGGAATTCAATACAGATGATTGATGCAGATACCACCAGCGTTAACACTGAAAAAAAGGATGGTGTTATTGTAATATTACAACAAATGCTCACAGAGAAACGCATTAACAAACCTCAGTTTATCAGTTGTCAACATTATGTATTAGAGAGAATCCTCCGTTTGTTGATGGACAAAAGAACTTAGAAGTATAACGCAATCGCTAAACATCAAATATTTATTTTTATTTCAACTATTGAAGGGGTAAGAACAACTGAAAACACAGTTTGATAACAGAATAGAAGTAATCTTCGAAAGATTAGGCTGGAAAGATTATATGAAATTTTTGTTAATGTACAACGAAAACGACTAATAACTAGGCTGAAATACTGAATCCATACAAAAAGGCTTTAAGCTCTTTTAAAAATTACTGGAAGCGAGAGCCATCCATACTACAGATAACCAAGTATTCAATACGCAGAACGCGCAATCAAAGTAATGGAGAAAATTTATTCATCATGCAAAAATAGAGAAAAATTGCACCTTCGATTGAGTACAATTACTGTGTTCATTGTTCTCAATTTCATAGCTTTAAGTAATGATTGTACTATATTTTTTTAACCATCACAACAGCATATTTAGTAAGGTATCAACAGTTTTGCAACTAGCAGTGTTAACATTAACATATCAGCTGAAAAATTAAAAAAATAAACAACTAAAGTCCCGTTAACCAGCAGAAAAATAGAAATGATATATATATAAAATATATATATATAATATATAAAATATATATATAATATATATAAATGTGTATATATATATATATATATATATATATATATATATATATATATATATATATATATATATATATATAAATGTATATATATATATATTAAATATATATATATATATATATATATATATATATATATATATATTAAATATATATATATATATATATATATATATATTAAATATATATATATATATACATATATATATATAAATGTATATATATATAAAATATATATATATATATATATATATATATATATATATATTTATATATATATATATATATAATATATAAATGTATATATATATATATATATGATATATATAAATGTATATATATATACAGCTCTCGGAAATAAAAAATTAGGTCAACAATAAACTGTCGCTCCTAAATTGTTTTACGTTGGCATCAGGTTGAAAGTGTATTATTTTTGGTGCCTGTCTAGACTTTAACTATTTAGGTTAAAATGCAATGCAAAACTAAAATTAAAATGATGCTGACTATCGAATATCAAGTATGACATAACTAACCTTAATTTTCTTATAACTATTATTAATTTACATATAAAATCAAGCTGGGTAATGAATAATTCATAAAATAACATTTTATAGGTAAACAATTAAAGCTATGTAAAACAGGTAAATAAAAAGAGTAAATTTCAAATTCTTTGTTTTCGTTGCACAAGATGCTATGAACTTTGAATTCTGAATTGTATTAAAAATTTCATTATTGATTCTAATTTAATTTTAAAAAAAGTCACTTTTATAGTAATAAAACTATTAAACTAGCTACTACCGTTAAATAAAATTTAAGAAACACATTTATAATAAGACTTGTATTAGCATAGCCATTATTTATTATCTATTTTAAGCACCTGACAACAATAAAAATATCATATGTTGCAAAAATTTGGAGATATTCGCTTACTGGATTAAAATTAGTATCAGATCTAGCTTTAGAAATATCCTTTGAAAAGTCCGTTCAAAGCTGAAATTAGATTACAGACATGTAGTGTTATTACCTCGTAAAGAATAAATAATCTTTATTCTAGAAAGTGCATTTAACGCCCTACCGAGTTTCAATCTTACGTAACTCCTTTTTCTTCATCCTCTTTATTTTACTCGAATCGGTAATTTTCTGGACAATTTCAGATTTTTTAATATTCTCTTCTCTTCTCTTTTGGTTTTCAAGTGTACGTTCCCGCTTCTTTTGTTTTTCTAAAAGAATTGCAGTTTTCAAAGCGTTTTCGTGTGCTCTTATTGAGTCTTTTTCTAATCTTTCCTTCTTCCTCGTCGTCCAACTTTTGTGTAAAGATTTGACATTAATTATATCTGATTTTCTTTTACCTTCCCTTTTCCAAATTCTGCCAGATTTAGGTTTTCCCTTCACAGAAGTACATTTGGTCCCTTTATTTTTCTTTGACGCAGCCATAACGGCTTTTTGTATTTAAGAAAAGACAAGTATCGTTGCTGGTGTTCTCAATTGCACATGCGCAGTTACATTAAAAATGGCAGGAGAATACACTATTATCAAAATAACGTGGTTTGAAACAAAACAACTTCAAAAAATTCTGGTTACAGTTATAGATCCAGGGTGATCCCAGGAAGATTGCATCTCCACCCAACAAAATAAAACAAAAAATTTGATCAATAAAGTTTAAAGTTAAACAAGGTTTAATAAGGATCCAAGCTTGGATTCTATCGCAGTCAGGTGCTGCCACAATCAGGTCCTGCAAATAATCTGTGCTGAATCTAGTCCTAAATTAATCTGTGCTTCCAATCAAAAAAATCTTCCGAAAATCAAATTCCTATTTTTTTTTTACTTTTTATTCACTTTGATCTAACCAGAGCCGTGGCTACCCCACACACACCAATTTACGGAGAAAGGGGGGGGGGGGCGGCTAACGAATTTAGGTGACCCGTTTGCTAACTTAAAATTCCTTTTGTTTAACAAGCTTTTTTTTTATTAAAATCTAAAGGACAAATTTTAAGATTTTTGGGACCTAATGACAGATTTAGGGTGGGGTCTCCGACCGAATAACGACGGCACTGAGTCGAATTGATAATAACATTACTATTATTTATTTTTTCAAATAATTTTTGTCTATTATTCACTAACCGGCAATATTTTAAGATAGTTTTAAACAATTTCACTTTAAATTTACTTCATGAAGAGAAAGTTTCAAGGTGGTTCACCTTTAAAAAAACGAAATAAAATAAAAATCTAATTTTTTTTTTTTTTGAATGATTTTTTTACAAAAATTATCTGATTGCTACTAACAGATTCTGATTGTTGAAAAAACTTTAATTTATTTTATTTATTAGAAAAAATACTATTTGTGAATAGCTATTCATCTTTAAAAAATATAAATACTATTTATATTTTTTAAAGATGCATAAGCAACGTACTTATGACTAAAATATTGGTTAGATCATTCATTACTTTACTCGTTCAAATTATGTTTTTATTATTGCGAATGTTATATATAGTTTGCATTATGTGTTATGCAAAATTATGAACATTTTAGTCCCTTTCCTCCCCCCGAGCGTACGTACTTTATGGACGACCTCTAACTAGAAATCTTTAGACTTTAGGTGTTGTTTTGAGCTTCATTTTAACTTGTATATGTTGTTTATATATTTTTTTATAAATGTTAAATGTATCTATTATGGAGATAGTAAAAATGTTTCTAATTTTTCAAAACCCAGCTACTGGGTTCTAGGTATATAAATAACCTCTACTTCATCCGAAAGAATATTTTTTTAGATAGCCAAACATGTTTGGCTACTGTACAGTCACAGATCTGTGGAAAAATTTAAATCCAGAGAAGCTTAAAATGATGGTATTTGTTAAAGAAAATTATAATGTGATTAAATAAAACACAAAGCAATGAGATATTTTGTAAAGATAAGCCAGCTGATTAACCACAACCGTAAGAACCTCAACACTCAACTTTCAGACCCAAAAGTAATAAAATTATTTAATCTTCTTGAGATCTTTTTATATCATAGATAAAAAAAAGTTGAAACGCAAAAAGTTGTAACGCAACCTGTAAGTAATAGATAAAATCAATTTTGAAATTGACGCAGCCTTATATACAAAATAAATTTTACATCCGTCAGAACTTCTGCATCAAGTAGAAAATGTAAATCACAGATTAGATGTAGATCACAGACTTTGAATAAATAAACTTTTTTTTTTTGTATACATAAAATTATGTTATTTTTTCGTCTGTTGACGAAAATTAAATAAATTATGTTCTTTTTTCGTCTGTTCTTTTTTTTTTTTTTTTATTATTACTTTTAAATAACTTTTTTTTACAACTTTTTTATTAACAGTTGAGTCTTTAACGATATGTTAAAGACTCAATTGCTAAATTTTCTAGAATTAATGTATATAATAGACGATTATAGCAATAATTGCAACAAATAGCGATTTTTTAAATAAAATTACGGCATGTTGCAAGGATAACGATAAAAAAGCAATTTAATTGTATTCGCTGCGATTTTTGGTGTAAAAAGTTTCATCTCAATTAGTTAATCGTAAATCTCAATTTAGTTAATCGTAAACGTAACTTAAATTAATTTGTCGTAGATTTGGCTAATCGTAATCGCAAAAAATCCCTTCATGATTATTGTCTAAAAGTCGCCAATGAAATTTATTGAAATGAGACAGAATACGTTGGCCTCCCAATAAATCTTTCCCAGTAGGCACCTTACCTAAAAAAGACGTCTTTTGAACGATCGAAAGACGTCCAAAACATTCAAAAGACGTTTAATAGACGTAAGACTTTTTATTTACGTCCGTGCCTGGGTTAGCGGTAAAATGTATTTTCTTCCACCTCAAGTGGCTTTCGTCTTTCTATTGACGGCCGCAATGTTTTGGAGACCAACGCATTATATATATATATATATATATATATATATATATATATATATATATATATATATATATATATATATATATATATATATATATATATATATATATATATATATATATATATATATATATATATATATATATATATATATATATATATATATATATATATATATATACAGGGCCGGCGCGAGTAGGTGTCACGTGGGGGGGTGCCATTACAACTTTTGCCGACTAAAAAAAAAAAAAAAAAAAAAAAAAAAAAAAAGTCCTCGTTTTCCAAAATTTGCCGACTGTCATGACGACATTTGCCGACTGTCTGACCTATATCGAAAGGGAGTCCACATTTGCCGACTAACTACGTCCAATTTGCCGACTAAGGGTCACATTTGCCGACTAAAGGTCCAGTTTGCCGACTGAAAATCATTGATGGGGGGGTGTTACACCCCCCCCCCCCACACACCCCTATCGCGCCGGCCTTGTATATATATATATATATATATATATATATATATATATATATATATATATATATATATATATATATATATATATATATATATATATATATATATATATATATATATATTATATATATATATATATATATATATATATATATATATATATAATGTTTCAACCTTAGTTTTGAGAAGACTGATATGTTTTTTTTATTACACAACTCTAATAAAACTTCGTCCTTATACCATATAACACTTTTTGAAGGTTTAGAAAAACTTTGGCAGATTACATTAACTTATATGTAAAAATTGACAATTGGATATTATATACTATTTGAAAATTTAACAAAAGAAGTAAAATTTGTATGTTTGTCTACTCAACAGTAATTTTTTGTACAGTTATATATAAACACTGACATTAATAGCAAGAAAAAGCATTAAAGTCAAATAAGTTAAGCAAATAAATGTGGATTATGGCATTAAAAAAATGCAAATGATTGTGGCATTTTTTTTTCTTTTTTCTTTGTAATAAATAAAAAAAAGATGATTTAAAAAAATCAAATTAAGTGGTAAAAGTTTAACGTTTTAATTAAAAAAGATGAAGAAAAGACAATAACATTTTTAGAAAAAAGAGCAAAGTCATTTGTCATGTTATGTATTTTTGTTATTATAAAATGTGTTTTGTATGTATAAACTGTAGGCAGGTCCGTTTTTAGGGGTTGAAAAAACTAAGGGGTTGAAAAACTTTGCCAATTTATTTTTCCATTCTATGTTGCCATAAAAGACTTTTCCTGAAAAAATTTTTGAAAAATTTTAAATTCTCTGTCCTCCCTAGGAGTTTCAATATTTCATATTTATTACAATTTTTAGAGAATTTTTTTTTTTAGTTTGCACCGCCGGACCAATGCGGAGTTATAATCACAGCGCGCAATAATAAATTTTATGAAACTGCGCTGCGTTTGTAACTTTAAATTTAAAATGGCAATATCAACACGTTCAAATACTGAAATATTTTTATTAGGACAAACCCACAAAATTGGTTGCAGAACTTTGCCTACAAAAGGCGACGTTTTAAGATATTTTTATCACAGATGCAGATTACTGAATTTAAAAAAAAAAACAAAAAAAAAAAAACACACCGAAATTATTTCCTGCCCTCTAAATATAAATCACGAGCTACTATCTAATGATAAAATATGTCAGCCCAAATGTGTTGTTTCTGCTCTTAGAAAACCGTGGCTTATGGGTGGTATACCACACATTAGTTGCAGAAGTATTAGGTAACTATTGATTTAAATAATGTTTATAGTTTATTACGTAATTATTGATAATTATTGATATAAAAATTTAAGCTGACAAATGACAAATGAAAATTTATTAAATTATTTCAGGGAAAATGTTACCAAATTAATATATCATCACAAGAAACTAGTATCATATCGTTCAAAAAAAACGGAAACACAAAAGCTGCATGAAAATAATTTTTTGGCATTAGAAAAAGAATTGTTTGATATAGAGCACCCAAAACTTTATGAAATAATTAAAAAAGATAGAATTCGATCAAAAGATGCAAAAAAATGCGATATTTTATTTTATGAAGATCAAAAAACTGCAAGAATAATGATAATTGACAAAATAGACAAAAAATATCAAAAAGTTTATTCCAACAGAGATTTTCGCAAAAGGAAAGCCAAGGAGTTAGAGCAAAAGGAAGAATCTGCCACAAAAATCTCAAAGTTAAAACAATTTTCATCAAATAGTAATTGTTTTTATGAAAATCAAGATTTATTTTTGTTAGAAAATTTTGATAATGAAGAATTTCAATATAATAATTATGATGAAATTGAAAAACAATCAACTAACATAAAACAAAATAAAGTGACAGTAACAGTAGATATTGATGAACTTATTTTAAAAACTTCAACATTTTGTGGGCGTTTTGGAATTTCTGTTGGAGTACAGACAGGATTATTAGCATTATTTTTAAGATGTGGAAATATCAATCTTAATGAAGTAAAACTTTCAAAGACAAAAGTAGAAAAAATAAGAAAAGATTTGTATGCAAGTGAATCAGAGTTAATTAAGGAA